CCAGAGTCCCCAGTGATGCAGGTGTGCCCCTAATAAAATCCTCTTCTCTATCCATGGCTTTCTCTCATTTTTGGATCTGCAACAGAGATAGGCCCCAAGGACGTTCCTCTGTGACTCCCCCAGGCAGACCCAGAAGTGTGTCTTACAAACCCTCAAGTCGAGTCTAAAGCCCATCAATTGGACACTACACCACAATCACCATACATACATGCAATTGCATGACTTTTTCTTATTGGGCAGCATTACTTCAAAGAAAAAAATCCAATAAAAGCAGTGCTACAATATTTCAAAGCAAGATTGTAGGAGAGTAACAATAGTGCATTGTGTATTGTTAGTTTCAAAGTAGCAAATGTACTTTTTAAGAAGCGTCAAAGAAACAGTGGAGAAATGTGTTTTAATTACCCATGTCACCTTGTATAAAATGAATGATCACAGAAGATATGATGGTGAGTGGAATTAGCAAAAGAGAAAAATCATATGATCCCAACTATATATAGAATCTTCAAAACAAGTTAATAGGAAATCAAAAAGAGTTACTATTATATATCCTAATTTTTTAATTTTTCCCTTAATTAAAATAAACATAAGAAATAACTAAATTTTTTAAAGAATAGTAGTTACGAGCTCTAACGGATATAACAGCAAGTGTGTTTAGGGGTGTTAAATAGCTGACTATATTAATGTTTTTGGATCATTGAACACAGCTGTTTGCAGTCTCTCTGTTTGAATGTCTACTTTGTATTCTTTGATACTGTGATTTGAGTAACTATTTCCAAGATGATAATATGTAATCTATTAACAGTTGATTTCTTACTGTTATGGTTTTTTTTGTAGTTCTGTATTATGTGTAACCTTACACTGCTTTGTTTTGTTTGTGTTTTTCTCTTTTTCCTCTTAAATAAAAAAAAAGGATCTTCAAAGATTCAAAGATTTAGAGACAGAGAACTAAAGGGTGGTTTAGTTAGAAGAGAGGCAGAAGGTGAAAAAAGAGAGAAATGTGAATCAGAGGACACAGAACAGCTGGTATACAAAATGCACAGCTCTAGAGATCTAATGTATGAACTGATGAAATTGTCATTTATACAAAATGAGATTTTTAACTGTTGTGAGCATGGAAAAAATTGTGTAGCTATGGCAAATGATGTACCATTTAATTTGCTTTGTTATAGTAACCATTTCCCTATCACCATTTATTTCACAGCCTCATACTATGGGCCTTAACTATACACAATAAATTTTATTTTTGAAAAATAAATTTCTCCTGTATCATACCCACCTATAATCATATAATTGTGAAGTATTTAACATGATTTCTTCTCATTTTTATTAGTGCATATTATTTTACATATATGATAGGTTTCCCTGCCATATTTTCATAGATTAACATGCTTATGAAGCCGGAATGCAAATCGAAGGGCTTCTAGTAGAATAATCACTTCGTGATACCTACCGAAGTGGCAGGACACTTGGCCCAGTGAATAAAGGGATCAGAGAAGCACAAACTATATGCTACTCAAGGATGACAAGACACCACATCTTGGCAAACCATTACGCTTTTTCAACTGACAATAAGAGATATGAGACAGGAGTTCCTGGAAAAGAGTTACAGCAGCACCTAGGAGACTAATGGAGGCAATAGGATCCAGAAATACAGAACATGGGACACAGGCTTTGGCCACTTCAGAAAACTGTGGTGATTTCAGAAAGGTGCAGCCCGTGCCAGGAATGCTAGACCTGGAAAGTAATATGGCTGCAAGAACATGACATCCCACTGACCACTGGCAGTTTTTCATAGAGCTAAAACAATGCCCACCCTTCCCTTCTGCTTGTGACTTATTTGTTCTTTCTACTCCAGCCACATCACAGCCCCCCAAAACTGTCTGGTGTTTTGAGACAGCTTCACAGAGGCATGCAGTTCCACTGGTTCCAGTCACAGGGCATAGTGACATGACGCAGATTATCACTTATTTTCTGTACAGCTTTGTTGGCTTTGTCTACATGGCTATACATGGGGAATCCAAGTTTTTCGAGGCTCTTAGTCTCAATGTATGAGATATATGACATGAGACCCAAGCCCCGGTACTCAGGTACAGTGGCTCCCATTCGCAGCTCTCCAGTGTAGTCCATCATTGTCCAGGTCACAGGGGTCTTCTCAGGCCCCAGCAAACAGAAGCTGGGGAAGGTCTGGATACAGCGCTCGATGAATCTCTGGCTCCTCTCATTACCACCAAAGCTCCAGAATTTATTCACTAAGGCAGCGTGAGCTACATCCAGCGATGAGAGTTTAAACATCTCTTGATTACTGCAGAGAAAAAGGAAAAAGAACAGCACATAATATCAAATACATTGTTTCCTGAGGGAGACCCTAAAATGGAGGCTTTCTAGGGGATCAGGCGGAGAGTCTCCCTGGAGAAAACATATTAGATGCTAGAATATGACAACATGAAGAGGGCCAGACGAATGGATAAGGATTCTTATTAACCAAGACAACGTGGCTGGAGGATTTAAAGTCGTGCTGAAACTGAGAAGGCTGATAACGGGAGGCTGCAAATCCCATGCCTTTAATGCAGCAAACTGACCTGTGGACCCAACAGGAAAAGCTGTGTTGACTTTTGGTGACTGCAGGAAATTGAGACCTGGGACCCAGTGAAGCACACAGGACTGCCCTTCTACACCAGAGGAGATTGTGTAAGGCTCTGGAGCTCAGAAGGGGAACGCTGTGCAGTTTTCTAACCATTCCACACTGTGCCAGGAGCGCAGCGAGGGCAAGCAGCGTGGTGTGCAGTAGATTCAAGAGGAGGACCTGCACCGAGCCCTGGTGAGTACTGGGGACTGGGTCCCACAGCTACTGGGGTTGGCTAGAGAACATCTTGGAACTGGACAGAGCCCGCCACCATGGGGGCATAGATAACACAGAGAGTGTGGCGGAAGACATGTTAGAGTTGCGCAGAACCCACGGCACGGTGACATCACCGAGTCACCCCTATAGAGAGGTCTGGTCGAGGACTTCTTGAAATTGGGCAGAGCCTGTTGCTGTGTTGGCTTCAGCATCATACAGAGAACTAGTGGAAGACATCTTGGAATTGGGCAGACCCACTGACCTGGTGCTCCTGTCACAGAGAGGGCTGGAAGAGAACAGCTGGGATTTGGGCAGAACCCTGTGCCACGGTGACATTAGTCAGCTGCTTCTGGCAAAGAGAGACATGGCAGGATCTGCTGGGGCTCCAACAAGCCTCTACTTGGGGCCCAATAAGCAGATACAAAATAGGCAAAACTCAGTGACATCCAGAAAGTACAGCCTAATTTACCGATTGACTGGCACAGAGGGTGGAGGCTAGCCTGTACCACCCCTGCATTCCAGCCAGCCCCAGATAACAGCAAATTTGGGAGGACAGCAAAAACTCATGTCAGCATGCTTCTGAAAGACCCTAAACAATAAGGAGAGGGCCAGAGACGCCCAGGACACTCCAGTCTGAAGGAATCCCGAAACATGACAAGAGATAAAAAAATTTTTTTAAAAAAATCTCCAGCTGCCCAATGAGAAAATAAGCCCAGGAGAAGTAAACACTGAAGAGAACAAGCACAGTAACGATCCAATACTGGACACAGCATCTGCTGAAATTAAAAAATACCTCCATGACCTCATAGATGAATTTAAAGCTGTACTCCTGATCCAAGTAAGGCAAGATCTAAAGAGATTAGTTAAAGAAATGACAAGCCCCACTCAAGAGAATACAGATGGAAGAACTAAGGAAATCAGAAAAGAAAGAGAAACTTCTGAAGAAGAATTTAAACATAACTTAGTATACATGAAACTGATCCAAAGAGATTACCAGGAAATTAAAAACTGCATCGAACACTGGCAAAATATCCTGACAGAAACTAAAGACAGGCTTCTGAAACTTGAAGAAAGATTTATGGCATATAATCCTGAAAAAAAGCCTCTTAAAAATAACAAGGAACCACAAAGAAACAATTCAAAGGCTAGAAGATGACAAAAAGATACATAAATTAAGAATAAAGAATGTGAGTGAGGAAGCAGGAGCAACCAAAAATGAAATACAAAGAATATTCACAGATATATTAAAGCAAAATTTCCCATGTATAGCAAAAAGAAATGATATCCAGATAAAAGAGGCATACAGAACACCAGATACCTAGAACAACCAAAACAGATCTATGCCTGGACATATAATAATCAAGATTCCAGAAATCCACCAAAAGAACAGAATATCTAAAGCAGCCAGAGAAAAGAAGAAGATTACTTACAATGGGAAAATTATCAAAATAACAACAGACTTATCAACACAAACTCTTAAGTCAAGAAGGGAATGGGGAGAAATATTCCAAGTCCTGAAGGAAAATAATATGCAATCAAAGCTCATATACCCGTCAAAACTCTCTCACAAAATTAATGGAGAAATAAGATGCTTCCAAGACAAGGAGGAACTGTGGGAGTTCGTGGCCACCAATCCAACCCTACAGAGAGTGCTGAAGGACATTCCAGAGAAAGAGAGGAAGGGATACCAGGATTCCAGCAACAGTGGCAGAGAGGCCTCAATGAATGGTGCAGACAGTGGAATGAGGGAATAAGGTGGATAAATTATAGCAGAAAAGTGGAGTAGCAGACATGAGGCAGAGACGGTAAGCTATAGTCGTTAGTATAGACAGCTCTGAAACACTATTTAAAAAGGCAGAGGTTATTGTTAATAGTGTATCAGGATGTAAAGACACAGTAGTCTTATAACCATATTTAGTTTGAATTTAATTGGTTCTGGTCTGTCCACTCATATCAGATTGAGGGCACAGACATCTGACCCAAAAATAGTAGGTTATATCATGGTAACTATCCTTACTTTCCTATTAACTTAAACCGAAATCCTGTATTACTTACATTGTCTTACTATGACTGATCTTAACTGAATCTGAATCATAGGACCATGGGTTGGCCTTGGCTGATTTTATTTTAATTTGGTATGCTTGTTAGTATCAACCATAAAAGTGGAGGCAACTACTCTGAAGATGACAAGATGTAAAGGATATCCACACTGGTATTAACTATAACAGCTCTCAAATCCTACAATGCTTTCAAGGTTGTGCTTTTATAAAAATAGGTAATACTATGTTTAACTATATTAAGCTGGTGTTGTGGACAAATCTATTGAAAATAATAAGAATAAACATAGTAACTATGGAAGATCACCTATATTGTGGTCTTATATGTCTTATCCATTGCATGTTTTTCTAGGAATTTGTTTTGCTGTCTTGTTATGACTTGGTTTTCCCTATAATACAGAGAGGATAGATATATATGTAGAAATTCACACATGAGTGAGTTTCAAAACATTTTTTTAAAAAAATTATTTACTGGGGCTGGGGGTTTAGCTCAGCGGCATAAGCGCCTGCCTTGAAAGCAGGGAGTCGTGAGTTCGATCCCCGGTACCGATAAAAAGGAAAAAGACAAAAAAAAATTTATTTACAGAAACAGATTATATAATGCAAGATGTAATGAACAGATACTCTGAAGATGAGATGCTAAGAAACCCAATGCTAATTTTGTAGCATCATGATATAAATTCTAGCAGTACTATTGTTCGCTGATTATCAATATAATCTTTATGTATATTTAAATCATAACAATAGATTTAATTTTATAAAAGTCTAAAAGCAATGTGTTTCATCAGAATGGCATGGCAAGATTTGTAAAACTTCAGTATTTTTTATACATTGACTGTGAAGCTGCACAGAAGCTAAGGCAGAGGACATCAGCCCCATTGTACAGATGAGAACAGTAGCTCAACAGAAAATGAGTCAGAACTGCAGAGCAAAGCCAGTGAGCAGCAAAGTCAGCATTTGGAATCATGAAGATTAGCATCGGCGGATCCTCAGCCATCGTGCTGCATACACTGAAAGCCTAAAGTCCAACGTCAATGCTGTGGAGTCCAGGCGCCTCCTGTAACAGAAAATGGAAGACTAAGGGCTCCGACCATGGGGTGATGGAGCTGCCAGAGACCCCTGGGGTGGGGGGGCCCGACTGGGTAGCATTAGACCCAAATTCAAATCCCAGTTAGGCCATTCAACAGCCATGGTGTGTGTGGGGGGCACCAGCCCCTTCATCTTCAGATCCTGACCTGGCAGGAGACAGAAAAATGTCTCATTCCTGGATGGTCCCCTGGACAGAACCAGGGGCACTAATCAGGCTCTAACTGACTCTGCATCTCCAAGATGTGCAGTGACACACTTCATTAAGAGACTGAAGGTCTTTCTGTCACACTGATACACAGGCATTAAGCATCTGCAGGGTAAATGCACATCGTTTTTCAGCCCTATTCCTACTTATGCCAGAAATACACAGAAGAGACATACCTTATTTTCTTTGTTGGAGAATTTTTTCACTATGTATATTTTTTAAGAATCTAAGAGATGCGAGGCAGTGCTTGTCTAATGCAGAGCAATCAGCAAGGCTTTCAGATCAGATGCCTCCACCTACAGAGACTTTAGGATACTCTGGAGGCTTCAAAGGACAAATTCATAGATTCGCAGAAAAACAGGATGCTTTCAGATGTGGAAAAGGACAATAACTAAAATCAAAATGTGAGTTTATGGTGAGGACTGATGAAAAGGAAAGTCATTATAGGTAAGGAACTCTAAAAGACATCTGGAAGCAAATCAGAAATTTGAAATTGAGAGCAGCGATCACAAAAAGGGAGAAATGCCTGAAGATAACAGGAAAGTGCTGTGTAGGCAGGCAAACAGCAAGTACATCTCCCACATCCCTGTGTGTGTGAGCACGTGGGACTGAGTGGCAGAGGAATGTCCAGAGCTGCTGCTGGGAAGCTGTGAGAGGGATGGGGATGGTGCAGGTGATGCTGCACCTGGAGAAGGAATTTTGTTTCATTCAAGGTGCTAGGAGAGGCCTTGATGGCTCCCAGGAGGTGAAGAACAGAATCCAAATGGTGCTTTGAAGGACCACCCTGGAAATCACTTGCAGGTTGGCAGGAATGGGTACGAGGAATGAGGTTAGGAAGCCACTTTGATGAAAGTTGTTAGTGTGGTGGGCAGAGCATCTATAGTCAAACTCACATGATACGGGGAATCTCTGATTTGGGATGTAAATGTTGTGTATCCAGCAAGGAGGGCACCAGTTTCTTTACTGTTGGTGGCATCATGTAGAGGATGCACTGTGTTTTCTTGACCTTGACCAATTTAGTTGCTGCAAGACTTTGTATCACCTCATCCAGGCTTGACTGTGCACCTAGAGGGGCAGAAGCAAGGACAACCTTTCCTCTCCCTGTAGAAGGTTATGGAGAGGTCCCACAGAATGAAGCAGGAGTTAGCACCAGACAATCTGGCTCCTTTCATTGCCACTTACCAAGAATGTGATCAGGTCACTCTCTTAGCATGCTTTCTCTTATGTAAAACAAACAATCCCAGAATTCCTATTAGCTACTGTGCAAAGGAGGAGTGATATGGAAATTATAACAGCCCATCTTGACTTTGTACATGATCTCTGCCAAGGCACTAGCTGAATGCTATTTCAATTTATCTTTGCACAGGCACTATTTTGTAAGGTTTTAGTTTTTATTATCCTGATTTTTGTAAATGAAGACACAGAGTAATAGTTAAGTCATTTGGTTACCAATGCTTAGAAAAAGGCTGAACCAGGAAGCCTCTAGGGAGTTACTAGGGAGAGCAGACTCACAGCCTCAGCAGCTGTACTTCATGGCCCTAAGGAGCCCTGTGGGACAATGAGCTGCTGTTACTACTGCAGGAATGGGAGGCCTGAGGGAAAGCTCTGTTCACACATCCTGCGACCCTGAGGGCCCATGTGTACACCATGAATCCTCAGCTAAGGAGAAAGTCCCTTATCCAAAGTTCCTGGCATCTGAACCCTACCTGCAGCATTTAAATCCCACACCGTGCAGTGTGGGTGGCCAAATAGAAGGACCAAGCACTAGAAGAAAGTGAAAGTTTGAGGGGAAGGTGCTCAGGATGGGAGGTGACTCTACCCTAGTAGCCAGGACACACCCCACTTTCCTTACTTTGGATTTGCAAATGTTGTTTCCAATTGATGACATCTGGTTTTTCAAGGAATTCGTGACAGTTCTTGGGGTCCTTAGAAAAGATTTGGTAGGTGTTGGTATAGTGATCAAGGTCATCGGTCATCTCCTGTATGGTTTGGCAACATGAAATAAGTCACATCAGCTCTACCAAGTCATTTCAGTATTTGTTACCCAGCTTTTGTCATACTGGTACTCTGCTAAGTGAAATATGATTGTTTTCACATTTTTACTATCTCTCAATCATTTACATAAAACTAGATCAAGGGCTCAATTTGATTTATGTTTTATAAAGTCTTGGTCAACCATTTATGGGTTGCATTGCAATTTAGTATCAACCAAAAGTGCACTACTTTACAAAGTCTTCCTCCATATTTTGTATTATTCAGGAGAAAGAATAAAAGCTATATTGTCCAAGGCAAGCTATGGGTGCAAAACTAAAGACTATTCCTTTTCAAGTTGTACCAGAACCAATTATTTTCTGCATACAATGTGCATATTGATGCAGAAAACCTTATAGTGCTAGAACTTCTATGATGATGCACAATATCTTAAAAACTACAAATCAGCACTGGTTAAAAGACTAGTTTGGAATTCTACTAATTCAAAACACACAGTTTATTCAAGTAAACACTTGCAGACTTAAGAAATAGAGGCTGGGGTAATTTAAAGGAGGACCAGAGGACAAATATCCAGAAAGGGTAGAAGAGCTGGAAAATTTTTCATAGAAATACTAATCTACAATACTACCATTGACAACCAAGATTTTAAACATAATATTTAAAAATATGATTTAATTTTTAGATTTTAAAAATGTATGTAAATTTCTCCGTATTGGTATTCTCTGTTTATGAATTTTAATTACTATATGTGTGTATATATATATGGTATATGACACGATGGTAGGAAGCACACACAGTTAATAAAACAGTTACTACTGCAAACCAATGACTGGTGCTCTGAAGAAAATTAGCAGGTCCATCACTTCACATTGACGACCAAACTTTTTTTGGGGTGAAAAACAGCTGGAACTCCAAATCTGTAGCAAATTCATGAAAATGTTACCATCCCTATTCTTCATGCTACACATTAGATATTTAGACTTCTTGCCTCTCTAGATGCTGCTTTGATTCCTTTCACCTGCATCTTCACACCCTCTGAACTAGCCACTGTTTGCCCTCTGCATCAACATATTTAAATTTTTACAAATTAACATTAGTGAGATGGTGCAAAATTGTTAACTTTTCATGATTCACTAATTTCTCTTGGCATATGTATATGCTTTTCAAACCTCTGGGGAAAAATTGGCCATGGTTCAATCATTTGGCTTTTCAATTAATGGACTTTTGAAATACTTCAAACATTTCAAATGTTGAGTTCTATGAGATCTTCATAGTTTGATTTTTTATTTTACATTAGTGAGTTTTTGAAAAATGTGATAATCACATTCTTTTTGTAGAGTTGGTGTGCATACAGACACATCTTAATGCTCTTTGGGCCTCTCTTTCCCCACTTCTATCCCCATACACCTCCCTCTATCACTTGGTCACTTTCTCTTTTGTAAAACATCAATTCCCTATTTACTATTATCTTTCACTTTATTCCTCATTTTTACTTTGAGCTACTCATATAACAAAAAGCATGTGACATTTAAGCTTGTGCGTCTGATTTATTTCAGTCAATATTATGTTTTCAACAAGCATCCATTTTGCCACACAATCCTCAGTTTTATAGTTTATGTTAGCACTCCACTGTGTATAAATACAATATTTTCTTCATGCATTTCTTGATGGACACAGGTTACTTCCAAGTTTCAGCTATACAAATTGCATTGTTGTAAACATAGCTATCAGGGTATCACTGAAATATCTTCGGATCCATGGGGAGGGTACTTAGCAGGAGAATAGTTGTGCTGAATGGAATATCTAATTTTAGTATTTTGAGCCATCTCCACACTGATTTCCATAGTGCTTGTACCAGTTTGCATTCCCATCAACAACAGAGAATTGTTTCTTTATCCCACAACTTCACCAACCTGTTATTGTTTCATTGGGAATGCCAGACATAGTTCCTAAAGTGGGATGAAATCTCAGTGTTGTTTTTAACTTGTATTTCTCTAGAGGCCAGAAGGTTGAACTTTTTCACATGTTCACTGACTATTTGTTCTTCTTTTTCTGAAAAGTGTTGATTCGTTGTTGTTAGCCATTTTTGATTGGGTCTTTTATGTTGAGACATAGGATTTTCTTGAACTCTTGATATTTTCTAGATATTACTCTGTCTAAGGAATAGCTTGCAAACTCTTTCCCCTGTTATGTAGGTTGTCTCTTCACTGTCCATTGTGTGCTTTACTGTGCAGAAGCTTTTTAATTTGATATGACCTTATTATGTGATACTCGGTATGATTATTTGTGACATTAACTTTCTGTCCAAAAAGTCTTTGTTATGCCTGTCTTGAGGAGCTCCAACTTTTTTATCTTCCAGCAAGTTGTTTCTATTTTAACATTCATAACTTTTATCTATTTGTGAATGGACTTCAGTACTGTTAATGACGCAAATGTAATGTTAGCATCAGTTTAAAGAAACCTATTCCATTCCAGGAGAACATGGCAGACAGATAGCAGCAGCTATGGAGGCTCTCTGAAAGACCCAGCTTAGAATTCAGGTATGGTGCTGAGTAAGGAATCATAAGCAAGAGGAGATATGCCCCGGTGACCCAAGAATGAACTGGGCTGAGAGAAACCAACTGGGAATGCAATCCTGGTGCTATAACAGAAACAGATAAAGCCTCAGCATGGAAGCTGGAGCCCACACCATTGGAAGCCACGATTTGGGTTTCCTGCCACTGTGGCTGCGTCTGCATCGGCTCGGCAGGGAGAGAGATGCGCGGAAGCTCTGAGAACAGGAATCGGTGAATGGAGTTGAGAGCGGGACAGGCGGGGAGCCATGCATCCACCTCTGGTGAGTGAGGGAAAACTGAGACTCTTCCACAGTCGAGGAGACTCCAACAGAGGACATTCTGGGACCAGGCAGACTTGTGGGAACAGAGCACTGCAGTGACTTCAATCAGCAATCCCCCTCTCAAGCGGGATTGGTGAGCAGTGCCTAGCCCATGTATGCTGCTGGCTGAGACCCAATAGGCTAGCACAACCCTGCTCCCAGCACCTGAAGGTGACCTGGAGGGGCGGGCCCTGCATAGGCTGCCAGGTCTGCAACTTCCTGGTGTGCTGCAGTTGGCAGGAACACCTAGCCTGTGCAATTCAATCGGACTGTGATTGACAGGGAAGGAAGCTGGGCCTCCTATATAAGCTTGCATGTATAAGGAACAAACAATATGGGAAGAGGCAGCAAAAGAAAGAGTCCTTGGCCCCCCACCCTGAAAAAGAGCAACATCAGACACAGCACCAATAGACATAAAGCACTATCTCGAGAGCCTCATAGACAAGTTCAGGAATGAAGTTATTAATGACCTGAAGGTAGACATAAGCAGAATAGTTAGAGAAATGCTAAGCACCACCCAAGAAAAAACAGATGGTGGAATGGAAGAACAGAAAAAGAGGGGAGAATTGTTTAATGGAGAAAATAGAGAAAGCATAGAATACGTTAAGCAGGCTCAAAGACAATACCAGGAAACTAAAAAGTCTATTTTGCTTAAATGGTTATGTTTTGATCTGCGCTGATTTGCTGTTATGCCCTCTTTTATCTCAATCTCCATTTTATTATTTACTTTTTTATCCTTTTAAGGGAAAAATAAATTAAAAATAGCAGGATATATTATAGTAACCCACTTTGACTTTCCATTATCTTGATTTAAAGCCCTGTATTGCTCTCACCATCTTGTATTGACTGATGTTCCTCTATTCTGTTTTGCTTGATAGTACCAAGTTCGAAAGTTTAGGCAACAGCTGTGAAGATAGGGGGATTCATTATGATGCCCATTCTGGTTGACTATTATCTACTTTTGAAGACCTATAATGTCTCCATTGTTTTGGTTTTGTTGGTTTTGTTCTTTACTGTTTTGTTCAATTTTATTATAAATAACGATATAGGCAATTCTGTTAGAGATAGCGGAAGGCATATAGTAACCATTGTTGATCACCTAGAGTTATGCTTTTACATTACCTATTAAGTCCACCCTTTTGATGTGACTGAGTGTTCTGTTGTGTCACATTTGGTTCTACTCTCTTCCAAAAACGTAATAAGAACTGTGGGAGCAACAAAACCCAAAATGTGTAATTGTCATTGTACAAAAGAGAGGAAAAGAAAGTGCTCTAAATGATATAACTGCATGTATATTTAAGTGTATAAAATAGATAATGATATTAATGACTTTGGTTGAATCATTGAACAGAACTGTTTGCAGTCTCACTGTTGGAATATCCACTTTATAAGCTTTAATTTTGTAACTTGAAAAATTTTTTCTAAGATGACAAAATGTAATCCAATAACTAGTGATTTCCTACTGTTTATTTTTTTCTGTAAATCTGTATAACTTGTACCCTTTCTCTGCTTTTTTTTCTTTTGCTCCTTAAGCAAAATTTAAAAAAAATAAAAAAGAAAAAAAGAAACCTATTCCACCCAGGCAATAACAAATATATCAACAAAATGAATATTGTTCAAAACAAAATCAATGCTGACATACTGTCAGGGCCAATAATGTATTGCTTAGAATGTTCTTAAAAGCTCAATAATTATGTTATAAACACTAAGACAACACAAACAAGGACAGTACCACTATAGTCATACCACACTGAACATTCCTGAACTTTTTTGCTATTGGAAGCCAACTATGATTGGGCCTGGTTAATATTTCATACTTGGATTGGCTACATAGTCTAATCATCTACTAAAAGTGACATTTACACCCCCACTTACAATAGAAAATAATTCAATAGTAGTAATGTACAGCTAACTATCTAAATGTTAATAAAGTTTAATGGTTATACAACTAAGATACAAAGGAGTTGATTTGGAGATTGAAAAAGGTTACTTTTAAAAATTGAACAGTGGAAAATAAGGAGGAGAGAAAGGCGACATAAAAGATCCTACTAAGGATTAGAAGAAGAAAAATAGAATTGAATAATGGTATTGGAAAAAACAAATAACAAAAATCAAGAAAATGAAAAAGAGTGAACAGTAGGAAATACAAGAGAGAAAAGTTTTTTAAAAAGAAGGGGAAAAGAAAAATTCATAGAACTCTTAAAAACAATAACAAAGAAAGAGAAGAAAGAAAAAAAAAGAGCTGAAAAACTAGAGGGAGGGGGAATGTATTTTTGAGTGAATGGTTTCACTTCGTGATCCACAATTTTAGAATCCAGCAAGTCACAGTTTTCTTCACCTACCTTTACGCTCTGTTGATTTTTAAGGTGCCCCATACTCCAGATGTTGTGTGTCAACAGTCCAAACCAAGGAATATACTTTCTATTCTTGGCAGATGGAGAGGAAATCAGACTTCTCATTTGTGCTGAATAGTTCCAGCAGGGAGAGGTTAAAGAAACCCACTAGAGGCAATACTAGTGCTCTCAGACCCAGCCATTTCTGAACATAACATGAGCTGACTTCTCGGCATGAACAGGAGGGCCCATGTCCGGTTCAGCCTGAGTTTAAATCTTTCAGGGGATTTGTGTAGCTCATTCTCTACCTTCAGCTATCTCTTGTGGCTGTTACACTCAGTCATTATGGAAGGGTTACACTGGGAAGCCTCAAGTGCAAGTGTTTTGTTGTTTTTCTGAATCTCACTCCTAATTTCTCAAACCCTCTCCAAGACAGGCTGTGATCAAACTCTTCTGGAAGACAAAGCTAATCAATCATCAACCTGCTCCATTTGTGTTTCCCTGTGACTTACCCACCTTCCACACTGGTGTTACAAAGTAAGCATAAACACCATCATATCCACACCATTGATGGCAACTTACCTGCTCCTGAGGACGGACAACTACTGTATTAAAATCAGGCCACTTGTCCACCAGAGCCTTTACCTTGAAGGGGTTCCCCTGGTTCATGTGAAAGACGGTCCCATAAACCTGTCCCATTTCAACACAATGGGAAGAGAAGCACAGGGCCCAAGGTCAATATTCCGTTTCTGTGACAAAGTGACTCACCCCTCTGAAAGTAGGGTATGTAGCGCTTACAGTGTTTAGTCCAATCCTTAGGTTACATTTTATTATCTCCCAAATAAGCAGAGTTTTGATGAAATCATAAGTGAAACAAATTATCAATCACTCATTCTTGCACCATTCATTCCTTTTCATTTTCTTTGATGTATTTACATTGTTACACAAAATTATCTCATATATTTAGTTTGACACCTATTTTTCCTTCTTATACTCTGCATGGGCATATTTCCATGTCATTAAATACTAATCTGTGTAATCTCACTTCATAATTATTTAAGATTAACTCTATGTTAAAATTTTTTACCTCTAATTGAAGGCCTTTTCTGTTTTATCTGACATTTTATTCTAATTCTTGAAAGGAAATTTTTGCTTGAGTCTTTGAAAATATTACCGTTAGTACAAATTTTAGAAGGAAAATTTCTAAATCAAACATGATATACTCAGAAGGATTTTTGTCTTCTAAGTATTTACACATTACTTTCTGGAAAGTTTACATGGCCTCTTTCCTACTTAGTAAGAAACAGATCATAGTGGTATAATCCTGGGCTCCAACAACCAAACTCCAAAGAACTTCACTCATTCAGAGTTGTTTCTTGGTGTTTAGGATCAGGTCTTCAAACACCAGAGACTTGAAGAACACTGAATAAGTTCAGGATGATTTGCCAAAGTTAGAAGTGCTCAAGCTTTTCCTCACAGTGTGCACAGCAGCACGGTCAAGTGGAAAACAGGATCTCCCAGCTGATGGAGCCACAGGATGCCACACAAGAAAGGGCGATGGAGCAAAAACCATTTCACTAAATAAGGTGCAGCCTGTCTGAAGGTCCCTGTCCCTCCTTTAAAATAGTTCTAAGTCAGACTAAGGAACAAGGGAAGCGAAATTTTCACTTAACCACATTTACATGGAGTTACTAAATACTCTGTTATTTGAGGAAGCTTGATGTGGCAACTAAATCCAGTTTTGGTGGAAATAACGATTATTTTTTTCTAAACATTGGAACTGAGAACTGGTGATTTTTAGATACACAATATAAAAATATAACTGCAGTCACTACTTCTTTTCTTTTTTTGCTACAACCTGACTGAATGAGATTTGGCATGTGTCACAAACCTACTCAGTATTTATTCCTTGGAGACACAATACCCATTACTTCAGGCCACAATACCCAAATCTTTCTCTAACCAGAGATTTAATAACTACTGAATGGGAATGTCTACTATGTTGACTTTCTGGTTTTACTAATTTCACATGAAAATGCTGAGACTGAGCTTAAACTTTTGCTATTTTGCTTAGAAAATAATTAGTTATGTCAAAGACATCTACCTCTGGACTCAGCCCACTCAACAGCTGCCCTGTGAGAGTCGCCTAAAGCTCGTGTGGCTTAATCTGTAACTGCCCTTTCTCCAAGGTACAAGGTCACAGGAAAGGTAACAAAAGATGTAATATTGTGTCTTTCCTACCACAGTTACCATTAACTGTGGAGTCAGAACCACAGTAAATACACCATCCTCCTGTTGCCCTGAATAGTCCCAATTCTTGAGTCAGTAGGAAAAAAAATGTAGAATAACAGTGTCTTACAATTAAAGATTTGTTTTTACTTTAGTTTTTGTTTTTCTTTAGATGTTATTGTAAATGGCACTGCTTTTTAAATTTTATTTTCAATTTTGTATTGCTAGTGCTTATAAATGTAATTGATTTTTGTTGTTCCATATTTTCGCCTTGAATCTTATCACCTAGCTCAATTTATTAATACCTAAAGCTTGTTTTGTATATTTCATAAGATTTTCTACATTAGAAAATTATGACCTCTGTGAGGGAAAAAACTCTTTTATTGCATTTTTCCCAGTATGTATTCTTTTCTTCCCTTTTTCTGCCTTTTATTATATTGTTTAGAACATCCAATGTTACTTTCAATATGAGTATATAAGGTGAGTATTCTTGCCTTAATATTTATGGTAGAGAAATCATCATTCACTATTTAGTAAAATATTAGTTGAAACTTTTTATATTTTCTTTTTATCAGTTTAAAAGAAATTATTTTATTCTAGGCTGAAGAGGTTTTATGTTTATTGAAAATATTAAATTTGATCAAATAATTTTTCTCTGTCAGGAGAAAATCATCTGGTTTTCTTCTTTAGTTCATTGATAAGAAAACTTATGTCATGGTTTATGTTGGTTGTCCCCAAGCCTCATGCCTTTGCATTTTGCATTTGTGATTGGTTCATTGTCCAGTGCTTGGATAGATGGTTTCAGTGCTATACCCACTGACAACATCAATTCAAACCAGGGGTGGAACCAGGATGTGATGTAATGTCAGAAAAAATGCATGTCTCTCTCTCTTGCCAGTTTCTGCCTTGCTGTTTATGGTCACCATGAACTGCAGCCTCACCATGCCACTCTGCTTTCGAGCCAACTGAGTTTATAGACTAAAATCTCCAAAAACTATGAAAAATAAACTTTCCTTTCCCAACTTTGGGCATCAGGTATTTTGTCTCAGTGATGAGTAAAAAATGACTAAGACAGCGTACATTGTTGACTTTTGAATTTTGAACCTTGAATTCTTAACATAAATTCCCATTACTTATGATTAGCTATTCTTTCTAAATGCGGTATTTACCTTCCTAGTATTTTGTTAGTATTTTTGCCTCTGTGTTGTTGATGGATATATCCTGTCTTTTTCTTATAATATATATTTCCAGTTTTGCCATCAGGGAAATTCTGGTCTCATAGAATGAGCTGGGTAATGTTCCCTTCTTTGTCCTCTTCTCAAAGAGTCTGCGTACATTGATTTTTTTTAATCACCCATGTGGTAGAAATTGGTAATGAAGTCACCTGGATAGCAGTTTTCTTCTAGGAGTGTTTTAAGTTACAGATACAGGACAACTTAGATTGTAAATTTTTCTTTAATGACTTTTCATCATATGTGTATTTCACAGAATAATTTTTGAAATTTGTAAGCATGGTGTTGTTAAGAACATCTTTATTAGGTTTATAATCTTTATTGAGCTAATGGTGATGTCTCCTCCTCTATTCTTAATATTACTCACATGTGACTTTTCTTTTTCCTGGTCACTTTGATCATAATGTTTTCAACATTACTGAGCTTTTCCAAGAATCAGATTTTGGATGAATACATGATGAATAGAATTTTGCTATTATTTTATTGTGTTCTCATTGACTACTTTCTCCTCCTCCTCCTCTTCCTCTTCCTCCTCCTCCTCCTGCTTCTCATTCTCCTGTTTCCTTCATTCCAGTCACTAAGGGGTTAATTTGTACTCATTTTCTAGTTTCTAGGATGAAAACTTAAATCTTTTGAGATGAGATCATTCTTAAATTTTTGTACTAAGCAGTTAATGTATATTTTCTAGCTGTCGAGAATTTATCTGCCTTCACAAATTATCCTATGCTGCACCTTCATTTTCATTTATTTAAAATACTCAAATTTGCCTTGTAAACTTGTAGGATGGTTTGTTTAGAAGTGTGTTTATATCATTTGAAGAAATTTAGGAAGCTTCCTGATAACATTTAAATTTTAATTCCATTGTTATTAAGAACATGTTTAATGTGATTATAATCATTTTAAAATGCTCAAAATGTATGATTTATCCCTTAAGCATATGAACAGCACATGTATTCTGGTGTTATGAGGGAGATACTCAAATGTCAGTTTAAGGTGTCACCTTGCTTTGTTCAGGACTTTTAAATATGTATACATACACATTTCCTGTTAATTCTATAAATTACTGTAAGAAGAATTATACTGGTGAGTTTCTCCATTCTTTGTTTTTTCTTTCAGTTGTACTAGCTTTTGTTTTTTGAATTTTCTTTTTTTACGTTCTTTTTTTTTAATTTTATTTAAGGAGAAAGGAAAAAAAACAGTGAAAGGGTACAAGTTATACAGATTTACAGAAGAAAAAAATATGAGCAGTAGGAAATCACTAGTTAATGGATTACATATTGCCATCTTAGAAATAATTTTTCAAGTCACAAAATTAAAGCTTGTAGAGTGGACATTCCAACAATGATACTGCAAACAGTTCTGTTCAATGATCGTTTTTGAATTTTCAATCTTTGTGGCTAAGTAGAGAAGTGTGTCTGTGTACAAGATTATTGGTCTCACTCTAAAGCACATATTTTACTCATCCAGATCTACACCAATAATTTGCTATTTGACAAAACACAGACTGATTTCATCTTTCTATCCAGGAGGAACACATTAATGGCTATTTAGGAAAATGAATTAAACATGAATGTGTTAGTTTTAGTAAACTTTTCAACTCTGGAAATCTTCAAGATTTATATCACACATTCTTAGATAAGTAGAAGGGAATGTATTGAGTCACCACACACCAAAGCTCAGACAAGATTAGAGTCAGCACATTGCCTATGATCCTGATTATAGAACTGATAGGTATCATGCACATTTCTTGAATCAAGGCGATGTGAGTTAAATTAGATGCCACACAGAGAGCATCTACAGCACAGAACACATAGTTGCTGAATGCTTTCTTCCCCAACTTCTTTTATAGGCATATAGTGGTCCTTTTTTTCTCTTGTGTGTGTTCCACTCTTACCTTTATGGCTTCAGGCAGGTTCTTCACTAAAGATTTCTCTAGCATCTGTAGCATTTGTGGACTTTGCACATGGAACATCTTGATAGGTAACTTAACCTAAAGAGACAAGCAAAAAACATCGAAGAATGGGAATTGTGAGAAGTGGCGCAAATACAATAAACAGTTCTGGTTAACAGTCTGGGCAATGGTCCTGCTGTTTCGTGGATGGCCCACGCACTAAACTTCTTACCTTAAGAAAAAATCGGTTGAGGCAGAGGAGGGATTCTCTGTGAAATCAACACCAACATCTTTCTTAACTTTCAAAACTATTTCTGTAATTTTTCTTTTCACCTTTTATTTTAACACACAGAATTCAACAAGTAAAGTTACACCAGGATTAATGAATCTATTATCAAAGAATGCATGACCATTGTTTCAGTTTCCATCCATGTCCAGACAGCTCTGCCACTCTATGACCCCCAGCTTGCCACTCAACTCTCTGATGCCTTGGTTCCTCATCTAAAAATGGCAGTAAATGCTCACTTAGTTCGAAGAGTGAGTGAGACAAGGAAATAAGTCAGTGCATGTAAAGCTGAGCATCAGGATAGAGCGAGCCCTCATGGTTAGGAGGACTAGTGGTCTTCTTTCCATCACTAACTATTTTACTTGCAGATATCGATAGGGTATAGTGTGATAGCTCCGTCCACACATACAGTGCAGGAGAAGAAATCAATGGTTATAATTCCCATTTGTCTTCAGCACAAGCAAATGTCAGCCCTCACTGTCATCTAAAGGAGTGTACTTAATGGTTTTTTCTGATTAACCAACCACTGGTGAATTTCAGATCAACTGGAAAACATTAAAGACACATGACTAATGCAAATAGGCACATGGTGCTTCAGACAGCTAGGCTTAAGGCCACAGCAGTGTGCCTAGCTTGCACAATATTCAGTTTGTGCCAACCAGCTGACCTGTTACTGCTGTTAGTGTTGATATCAAAGACAAAAGAAGAAAGAAATTTCAATAACTTTTCCTCTGAGTCTTTACATAGAATGCATAATGATTCTGTGGTGTAATTCAAATTTGAAAAAAAAAACACAATCAAAGAAAATATTTGATTATTAGTAAGGTATGCTTATATTTACACTTCCATTATATGTGTATGCATATATTATATTATTTTTCAAAGATGCCACTATTATTTTTATTTAGAAAGTCTTATGGATTTACCAGGCTTGGAAATCTGCAATTTAAACAGTTCTGTGTATTTCTGTTATACTGTCACTATTCTTTGAGGCATAATTCATGCTCAGTAAAATTCAATTTAAGTGCATGGTTTCCATGAATATTGATAGCTGCACTTACTGGCAATACTAGTATCCTAACATGGAGGCACCCCCTTTCCAACAAACTCCTAAAGACCTTTTCTGTCCTTTCATCATCGACTCCTTTTTCTTCCATTGATTCTGAGACCAAAGTAATCATTAACTTGCTGTTGACTCTACAATTTTCCTTTGACAAAATGTCAAAAATCTCTAATTGTTTATTACGTGGCCTTTTCAGACTAGCATCTTTTATTTACCAGATCTTACTCATTGAATTTTTCAATAGGGACATCTTTTTATTGCTGGGTAATATTCCATTATAGGCATTGTGTGAATTGATCAGCTTTTTTATCTATTAATGTGTTGAAGGACACTTGGTTGTCTGTAGGTTTGGCCAATTATCAATGTTATTATAAAGATTAACATACTAATATATGTATGCATTTATGAGTTTATTACCCTCTGAGAATATTTCCAGAGCGGTGTGGTAACTGAATGTGTAACGTGATTTAAAAAACTGCTTTGCTCTCCTCTAAAGTGAATGTGCTATTCCACATTCTCACTGTAATGCATGCAAGTCCCATGTGTTTCCCATGATCTCACACACTTCTGTAGACAAGTTTTTCTATGCAGCCACAGTCAGGTGTCATTGGTATACTGGATGAAATTCTCAACAATACACTTGAATAAGAATTTCAGAAGATTCACAGACCTTATTCTCAAAAGGTAAAGACCAATGTGGAACTCAGCAGATGCAGTTCTCTGAGGAACCCACAGCATTGAACTCTGCTCCATCTCTGTGAGTCAGCAAGGTAGGAATGATCGGGAAAGCCTTCCTGCCCCATCCTGTTCTGGAAACAGCTTACTGCAAGAATCCATCCTTCCCCACCCGAGACAGGACTCCCACATGTCCTTTTTGGTTACCCAGGACCTGGATAAATATGGACCCATAAACCATCATTGTTTGCTCCATAAATGATGAGCTAAACTGTTCATCCCCATTCATAATTATGGAAGTATTTGTTAAGAAGGTGCTTGTTAGATATGAGTGGTGACTAGGCACAAATTGAGGTTATGCAAAACCGTGTTAGGGCAAAGCCACCTTTCACCTAACTTTTTTACTCACTGCTACCTTCTATCTGCCTCTTAGTTATTGTTTTGTTATGATCCTGAGCCTGTTGCGGGGGAGCGAATTTGGCTTGTTGATATCAGGATACTAACTCCAGCTGGCTCCTTCTAGGGTCACTGGCCTTCCAAAGGCTCCTTTTGTATGTTCAAGACCTTTCCACTATTACATCATTAGTTTGACCTTTCTGGAACACTGGTTGTGCAATGATCTAACAGAATCTGAACTAGCCCTAATGTTGCTGGTAGTTCTTGATTTCTATTGCTTCTAAATTACCAACATTCATGCAACCTTTTGATCTTGTTGCTGCAAAATTCAAGGGAATGGCTGGACTGGGAAGCATGATTTTTCCCAGAACAATCTCTGTAATGGGATATCTACTTCAGCACCTTGGAGGTGTCTTTATTTATATCCTACCTTCAAGAAACTCACAAAGCCTAGTTTTTATTTGCCTTACAAAGCCTTCCACACACAGTGGATTTTCCTCAGTTTCCTCTCTCTGAGGTGTGAAACCCTAACAGAATCAAGCACTTTTTTTGCTCTGCTAGGATTATGTATATATATTTAACCACAAAACTGGAACAATGGATTATACTGGGTCTTCTAGTTTCTCAGTTCCTCAGGAGAAGCCCTCAAGTTGTATTCTTCTTTCTCAAAAATTATTGCAGTGTCTGATACACTTGAAAGACTCATGACATGTACATTTAATGATGTCCTGTTTGAAGAATGTGTATCAACATAGCTATTTATTTAGTCCTTTTGCTTGCTGAATGTAAAGATTCACCTATTCATTCAAGAAATAAGCCATTCTCTGAGTATCTGTGCCCTCTCTGAATTTGTATGTTGAAATCCAGACCCCCATGGTGATGCAGGCTTAGGGATTAGATCGTAAGGACACTGTGTCCACCAAATGAGAATTCAGAAGAAAGTATTACCATTAATCAGCAAACAGCCCTCTCCAGACACTGACACTGTAGGAATACATTTCTGCTGTTCACAAACCACGCCATTGAAGATACTAGATTCCAGCAGCCCAATAATCTGGATTAACTGTATACTGAAGGCCAACTATTGAAGTGTGGTTATTGTCAGATACTTCATTGAGATAAAGACCAGAGCAGAACAAAGTTTTAGAAAGTCTCCAGACAGAAGTGCAACATGTGTGAAGGCTAATTGGGTGTTTTTTCTAGAAGCATCTCAGAACATTACATGAAAATAAGAAACAAGGTGGAATTTGAAGAATCCATATGGAAGCAGTAATATCCAAGTACTGCCAGGTATACAGGGGACTGCGGTCTGAGCACAGCTGCACAGGACCCCAGAGAACACAGCCCTGCTGCTCTGCTGCTACAGCTGCCTGGACAGAACAACCCTGGGGAGTTGGCCCATACTGGAGAGTTACCAGCATTCACCATGTACAAAGGCCAAGGCGGGGAACTTTGGAACTTCTGACTAAGCCATGCCAGTGCTCAGCCAAAAACAAAATTCCTATGAGGAAAATACTCCTGGGAAGAACTGTGCTGAGCGTAGCTACTTCATCATATTTGTGCACATTTTATATACCACATATAAGAAACTCAGAAGGAAGCATACTGTAAACCTCATGATAGATGACTTTTTAAATATTTAAATGATTCATCATGAAAGAGTTGCCGGCCCAGATGGAACACTGTAACCAGAAAAGGCTGCAGCTAAACTCCTCCCCCCCCCCTGCCCCCTATGCACTTGATTGTAACCCTATATCCCCATCCTTAAGGACCTGTGCGCCAGTGAGATACCTGTGCATCTCTAATGGCATTAGGGTGCTGCCCTAAGCTTAGGCTATTTAGATTCCCCCATGCCACGTGTCCGAGGGAATTCACCAGAGGGAGTTCGCCAGAGAGAGAGAGACCCAGATTCCAGCGGCCAGCGCCGGCCAGCGCGCCAGGCTCCACTCCCCATGTTCCCGGAGAGACCACCCGCCCCGGGTGCAGAGATGCTGCGCCCGGGGCCGGCGGCGGGGGGGCCCCTCCCCGCAGTCCCGGAATAAAGTCACTGCTGACCACTACTTTCACGGCCGTCCACTCTGCTCCATACCTCCCACGGACTTCTCCTCTTCTCCTCCCCCTTCTCAGACCTAACACATCACCTTTGTATTTTAGCCTCTGTGCTAGAATTTGCTTAGTCTTTTCGTGGTCAAATAGGTTACATAATTTCCCTGGTCATCAGTTTTCCAAGCTGACTACTTTCAAATGTTTCCAGAGAATTATACAAGACAATATCTACATGCAGGACAAAATCTGCACAGTCTATGTAACTCTCTGTCAAATGTCACCTGAAGCAGAATGATTCTTGATAGGGGTTACTACATTTTCCATCACTCAACTCCAAGTGCACACACTCAAATCTCTTCATATTTATTTACTGATCCATAATAAAACTAAACTTTACTCAGCCAAGAATTTCTCTCAGATCTAACACTACCCCACATATGGTCATTATTTGATGTTTTTTATTTTGCTTTCATTTTTAAATTTTAAAGAAAAAAGATAAACATAACAATGAAACAGAGCTTCAAATAGGTTAGTAGGACAGTTGCAGTAATTAATACATTGCATATGGTTATCTTCGTACTAAGTATTCAGAGTAAAAAATACAGGCAAAATTTCCTGCCTCACCAAACAATATGAGCACAAGATTTTCTTTTCAATGAAATAAACGAGCTAGTTGTATAACTGTTTTATTTTGTATACACATATAGATTCTTTTCTTTTTCCTTTCTTCCTTTCCCTTTTCAGTTTGTATGGTCTGATCTAGATTTTCAAATCAAGAGAACTGCCTTTCCTCTGACATAATTCTCAACACAATGAAGCCCAGACACTCTTATCCACATTTCTCAGAAGTATTTTGACTTGTTCCACTTTGCTAGTGAGGCAACAAAAATGAGTGTTCCCAGGCTATCTATAGGTCTGTGTTCTCACCTGAAAACTGTCTTCTTCGTCTCTACAGATGTCTTTAGGTCGAGAGGGAGCAGGCTCTCCCAGATGATTAATAAAAAAGTTCTGAGAATACAAATTTTGAAAGATGTCCTTTGATTTCCTAGAAAGGTGTCCGTTGATTTCCCAGAAAGTGCTGAGCTGAAGTTCCTAGTGGAATACACCCACAGAGATGTGTCACATGGGTATAGACTCAAGCTCCTCCCTCAGAGTTCTACATGGAGGGATGTGGCTTTGCAACTGATGTCTCAACAAAAAGCATTCATTCTTTGGTCCTTTCACAGAGACTCTGGCCTTCTTCAGCAACTCTGAGCTAGTCTTAGGAGGTTACTGTGTAAATGAGTCCCTTCCTACCACTTGATACCTGCTGTGGAGCAAGAGCTGACTGCTATTCTTATTAGATGTTTAGAATCAAACTTTATTCTCAAATATTAGTAATATTTGTCTGAAGGGACTTAAGAATATAGATGCTACCTTTTGAAATGTGCTTAGGGAATCCATATAGAATGAGCATAAAGAAAACTATAGGAACACACTCCAATCATCACTCAGTAGACTTCCCACTATGGGTAGCTAGCATGGGCTGGGAAAAGCAGCAGCCAGCCCCACACCAGCCACTGGATACCCATAGCCAGTACTGGCCAGGAGAACCAAGCAGTCACACTTTAGAGAAACTGTAGCTAACTTCAGGGAAGTGTCCAGGGTCTCACCACCGACATGTCTTGAAGAATGCAATAAAATGTCAAGACGAAGAAGCAAAAAGCAATCTCTGGGCTACAACCCATGCAGAGCAGGTCCAGGAGATAGAAACATGGAAGAGTTGGGAGTCAGATACCTGAAATTTCTGAAGTGATAGCAACTAAAGTAAAGAAACAACTTCATGAGGCTATGAAAGAAAGTAGGACAGAAATGCTATCTCAGGTAAAATAAGAAATGAAAAGCATAATAAAAGAATTACTAAGTACCTCAAAAGAAGGCATACATTAAAAAAAAGTGGAGCATAGGAAAATGAGGGAAACCTTGAATGAACATTATAAAAGATGTAGAAAACATGAAACAATTCAAAGAGATATCCATGAAATTAAAAACTCCATTGATACCTGGCAAAACTGCTTGAATGAAACTGTAGACTTTCAGACCTTGAATACAGGTTTGCAGCTAACAATTGCAAAAGGAAAGATCTCTTAAAAACAACAAGGAACCAGGAAATAAAAATTCAATGGCTGTAAAATGATGCAAAGAAAAATAACTTAATAGTAATAGGTGTCAGCAAAAAAGCAGGGGTCAACACAATTGACTTAAGAAATCTATTGACAGAAGTAATAGCAGAAAACATCTCAAGCATGGGAAAAGGATGTTATGCACATATAAATGAGGCATATAGAATTCCAGCTAGCCATAACCAAAATAAATCTACAAATAGACATATAATAATCAAGATTCCAGAAATTTAGCACAAGAGCAGAATATTATAAGCCGTTAAAGAAAGAAAAACAGATCACCTATAAAGGAAAACCCGTCAGAATCAAGCCAACCTTCTTGACATGAACCATCATGTCAAGTAGATTTGGAAGTATTTCAAATCCTAAAAGAAAACAACTTCCAACCCAGATGGATGTATCCTTCAACACTATCTTTCACACTTAACGGAGAAACAAGATATGTACATGACAAAGTACAACAGAGGAATTAATGACCACCAAACCAACCCTACAAAGAATACTGAAGGACATTCTAGAGAAGAATAAAAAAAGACCATGGTTCCAGAAACCACAGCAGAAGGTGGGGGTCACTGAGTGGGGCAGACAGTTGAATGGAGGGGAAAAGCAGGCAACCAATGGCAGGAAAATGGTATGGCAGAGATGTGGCAGAGCATGTTGGCCATAACCATTAATGTAGATGGCTTCAATCCACCAATAAAAAGAAACAGGCAGAGTGGATCAGAAGACAGGATCCATCAAATTGCTTTATACAAGAAACACATTTAACTTGAAAGAAAATTCATAGACTGAAAGTCAAAGGAAAGAGAACAATGCTTTATGTGACAGAGACTCAAAAAAAAATGTAGGGGTAATTTGTCCATCAACTGCAGAATAGATAAGAAAGATCTGGCATTTTTATACAATGAAAAGTCACTCAACTATAAAAAAAGATAATCCTGGGGCCATAAATTTAGCTCAGCAACATAAGTGCCTGCCTGACAAGAGAAAGGTTGTGAGTACAATCCCTGGCACAAAAAAGAAAAAAAGAAAAAGAGGAAGAGGAGGAGGAGGAGGAGGAGACAGACGAAAGAAAGAAAGAAAGAAAGAAAGAAAGAAAGAAAGAAAGAAAGAAAGAAAGAAAGAAAGGAAGGAAGGAAGGAAGAAAGAAAGAAAGAAAGAAAGAAAGAAAGAAAGAAAGAAAGAAAGAAAGAAAGAAAATCTCAAGGTGCCTGTAGCTAAAGTCGATACAACTTGAGATCACGCTCATGGATGAAATGGTTCAGAGTTGCATGGGTGAGCATCATGTTGTCTCCCTATTATAAAAAAACTAAAGGAGTTGGTGGCATCCAAAATGCACAGTAGATAGTGTGAAAGTGTAGGAGAGGAAGTGTCTAAAAGGGGAAGGCAGTAGCCATTGTTAATCTATTATCATGCTTTGAAACCCTGTATTATTTTCATTTATCTGTCTTTATTTGTTTTGTTTTATTATATGTTATAGCATGGATAGCTATTTCAAAGATAACAAAAAATACTGTGGTAGCCATTATTGTTTTCCTATTATATTGTTTTGAAGTCCTGTATTGCTTTGTTTTTCTTTGATTAATTTTATTCTATGATGTTTTCTTTTATTTTATTATGTCTGATGGTATAGGCAGCTACTCTGAAGACAAGACGCATTATGGTAGCCACTGTTGTTTTCCAATTATCTTGTTTTGAAGTCCTATATTGCTATCACTGTTTCATTTTGACTGGTTTTATTCTGTTCTGTTTTGTTTGATTTTACTACAGCTAGTGGTATGGGAAGATATTTTTCAAGATAACAAGAGATATTATGGTAGCATTTATTAATTTCTTTTTATCTCATTTTGAACTCCTGCACCACAAATCTGTTTAGTTTTGTTTTGACACATTTAGAATGTGTTTTGTGTAGTTTGGTTTCACTGTATTCTGTTTTATTTCATTTGGTTTTATTTTCTTCAAAACAAACAAAGAAAAGGAAAACTACACCCAAACATATGATTATTAAACTACTGAAAATTGAATATAAAGATAAAATCCTAAATGAAGAGGAAGAAAGACACATTACAGAGGGGAATAATGGTGCAAATAACATCTGGCATTCAGAAAGTGTATAGGGTCCAGAACACAAGAGTGCCATTTTTTAAATACCAAGGAAAAAATCCTCAGCCCCAAATTTCATGTCAAACAAGATTTTTTCCTCCCAAACTGGAGCCAAATGTAAATACTTTCAGATGAATCAAGCAATCTTGACAGAGTGTTAGAACTACAGGTAGGAGGGAGAACATGGTAACTACCTAAGCTGTGCTCTGATTGGCTGGCACCTTTAGGACCAGTTTGAATCTTGGCTGTTAAAGCTTTGGTTGGGGCAGCTCACAGGGAAGCTGGTACATTTGCTCTGACATGGAATGGAATTAGGATCATGAATGAAGAGGTGAGGGGAACTCCAGTAAAAGTGCTATGGTGTCACCCTCTAGTCCCAGGAGAGATCAGGGAAAGTTGTGGAATGCGCCTCAGGTGGTGGTGGATAATGACAAGTCCTTTGCCTTTGATGCTGTTTGACCCCTTGGCTGAACAGGAAGAGGTCTTCAATACAGTGGTAGACCCACTCATAAAGTCCTGTTCAGAGCATGTGTAGCACACAGGCCACCTGGCTCTGTAAAAACATGTTTACTCTGCAGAGCAAGAGAAGGAACCAAGAGTCAGGGTTGTTTAGGGTAATGCAACTGTTCTTCAAAGAAACTGGGAAGGACAGTGACTGAGTTTACTCTGAAAGATTTGCAGGGGAGATTTACAATGAAGAAATTTTGGATCTTCTGGGACCACCTTGAGAGAAAGCCACACATCGTGGAGGAGCCTGAAGGAAAAATGAAGATTTGGGGGCTCACTGGGAAGACTGTTTTAGCAGCTTTTGATACTGTTTCCTGTCTGAGGCAGGGCAACAAATATAGGAGTAGACTGTGGTCTCCACAGCACTGAACTGGCAGCTGTCCAGATCTCATGCCATCTGCACAGTCTCCATAAAGCAAAGAAAGAGCAGCAGTGTTCAGTAGAAGCTCCCACGTGGTAAGGCTTGCTGGGTCACAAAGACAGAGGAAAACCAAGGCAGAAGGGATCATTGAAAGGAAGCTATTGATTTCACAGAGGCTTCCTTTGCTTGGGAAATATAATCTGTATTCTCAGAAATGAGACAGAGGGATGGTTTGGGCCCAGGAAAAATTCCAATTGACTCAACTGTTTCCAGATGTTGTAAGCAGTAAAGTCATAACCTCATGGCAGGCTGGGTGAGTCCTGCTGATGCCGATCTAGAAGAAGCAGTAAATACACTTTACTATGCAGACAGAGCAAGGAAAATCAAATAGAAACCCATTGTTAGTATCAATCCCTAGACAGCCGAACTCAATCATCTTAAATACCAAGTACAAGAGCTGAAGCTCTCATTGCTGCAAGCCCATCAAGGTCCCCTTCCTGGATGAATTTATGTGGAACCATCAAGGAATCTGCAATCTATTAGGGAGAAGAATCAGTCCCTGGCAGAAGAGAATGAAAACTTGAGCCACAGTTTGCACATGGCACTGATCACTGCTCAGCTACTGGACAGAATCATTTTAAAAGAACAAGAGAAGGAAGAACTGAATGCTGAGATAGCACAGTTCAGGCAGCCTGCACACTGGATCTTTAAAAGCAAGTGGAAAGGCTGGAAGACCAGGAATTAAAAGGAAAGCAGAGATAATCCATAACCTCCAAATAACTGTCCTTCACTTTTAGTTGCTTCCACTGTCTAAACTTCTCAGTGTTCTCTCTCATAGGATGCATTAACTTCCTGCTGTGTGTTCATCCTCTGTATTTCCTGTCCTGTTGAACAACAGTGTTGGTTGTGGGGTTGATGCCATCAGAACCGCAGTGGAAGCAGAAGCTTGAGTAGAACCTAGTCAGGGTACCAGCAGGTCTCTTGGTGCTTTCACCAACCAACATTTCCTGAAGCAAGTTTGGACATCAGAGTGGCTGATTGAGCTGAACT